AGCATTATTAAATATTACTGTGTACGCTTGTGAGAATGTTGATGATTACGGACAAGCTCTTATAGTCGAAAAATATATTCGACTACAGCTAATGCATGCTGATGGGATTGTGTGTTTCCTTTTACAATTTGCATGATTTATCCTAACCTTCTCTTTGAACTTTCCCCGACGGAGTAACTGACAAAACCCAGGACGACAAAGTTGGAGGTTTATATTTAACTGAAAATTAAGCGCTTCTTATGTGTTAATGGTTTTTGTTGATAAAAATTTCGAGGAATGATTATAAACATTCTTCCATGGTTATATTATTCTGACATTGCGGAGTACAACGATGGTGTTGTGCACATTGTGAAATACTGCGCATGACAGAAAACATTTATTCCGTTTCAGAATTGATGTAACTGAATTACAAATATTAGGAATATTTATCTTCTGTCTCACTGGTTTTTGTGGACAAGATATCTTTTTAGCAAAGGTAAGTCTATGTCAAAATGCTGGTTGCAATTTAATGTTATGCTATACGAGGCAATTTTTGCAACGCAATTTCTGACATAGAGTTATGTTATCCAAAATCGTAGGGAAATTCTGAACATGGCCCACGATCCTTTCTGCTGTATATTTCTTTCATTTTTCTTCTCTGGAGAGTATCATGTTAAACTGAGTTTAACGCATTTTCCGGCTGCATTTTAGATCGCATAGCCCTGCAGGGGTTTTCCCCCAACCTTTTTGTAGCCTTTAAAGGGCAGCAAAAAACGCAATCTTCAATTGAATTGTGAAACTTAATCATGTCATTGAATGTTAAATTGCGGTGAAATTGGGTTGAATATTATTTGGGTTGAATAAGCGAAGTTGAAATAATCTTTTGTGTGGCAACTCAGCAAGGAAACACGACAACACACACACACACAACATGGAATTCGTTTCTCAAAGCAAGAATACCCATAAATAAGAACGTGACCAGATATTATGTACCATCTTTACCTCAATGCAGTGCGGTCCATTTTATTTATTTATTTTATTTATTTATTTTACAATCTTTGTCACATGACCGGTTTAACCCACAGAGCTAGTTTCTCCTTTACGGGTAACCTGCTAATGCAATACTGAAATATAGGTTAACACAGTGGATATATCGCTTCAAAATCGCTAATCAGTGAGACGTTTGATTTAATGTGGTCCTGAGCAATTCTAGTCATGTGGATCGAAAAAAGGAATTTAATTTAAATTTCACATGCTCACTAAAAAGTGATATTTCCACTGGGTTAACAGCAACTAATGACAACACAGTTTGACAGAAAGACTGGACAAGGGACGACACAAATGACACTTTACACACACTGTTTTAAACGTTTGTGGAACATCAATGTCGTAGACCTCTTCTTCTTCTTCTTAGCTGAAAGACATGACAGGCTAAAATTGTGAATTGGAGGGATTGGGAGAGTAACACCACCAGACTCCCTGCTGCATTGGTAGAATGAGTCTTCTTTGCATAAAAAGTACCAAGCAAAACATTTTGAAAAAAACCTGTCTTTGCTAGAAATTGCATTTCAATATAATGCCTTTTTGAATAAAGTAATATGTGTTCAAGTCTTGAGGGATAGCGGAATTAGAAAATATTACCATAATTTCATTTTCACTGCGATCACTCTTCTACTCACAATATCACTTAAACAGATCTGTTTTGCCGATACATCCACTAGTGTACGAAACGGCAAAGGAACTGTAGTGGCATTTTTGGACTGCTGTGATATATTGATAAATATCTTTTTTTATATGTCGGAAGATATTCGAGTAGCTCTTTCGACTTGCTCTGAATCTGATGTAAATTGAATCCTACAACGTGCGAGTATCTTGTCAAATTCGCCCGTACGGTGAGGCGCGATTCCTAGAAAATTTAACATTTACACGATACGCTCGATTATGCGACTGTTTTCTGTCGTATGAAAATGACTGCTGACGACACTGTTCCTGTTCCTCTTTATGGCGAACTTTTAAATGTGATGTTTTTACATACATTAATTTATTCGAGTACATACGCCAGGATACCAATCGCGTACACGATTAGTCGCTTCGTACATGTAAATGGCCTTTACTGTCGTTCCAATTGAAGTGTTGCTCAAATATTGATTCAATACATTACCTCGGGCTGACCAATTCATTTGATCAAGTTCCTCGAGATATTCATACACTTCCTGTGAAAAAGCCAATTCCAAGTATTTGATCATTTCTGGTCACTTCCTTTCTATTTATGATTGGTTAGTTGCACAAACAACAAGAGGTGATTGGTGCATTCAAACTATTCAACAGGAAGTTTACAGTTATACTAGGAAGTGTATGAATATCTCGAGGAACTTGATGAAATGAATTGGTCAGCCCGAGGTAATGTATTGAATCAATATTTGAGCAACACTTCAATTGGAACGACAGTAATGGAGAAGGGGCTGAATTTCCTGCGATACTAGTGCCAACGTTAAGGAGTGGTTTCACCACACAGAGTCCATAGGAGTTTTATCGAATAATGTGGATTGCAATATATAATTGTCATCCATATATACCTGAATATTTTAAGTTATAGTATCTGATTGCCTAATGAGATGTACATGTATTAGGCACGCAGTATAAGCTTTAAGTTTGAGGGCAAAAGCAAACGGCAGAATCATTATGTTTTCTAGGAAATCTGTATTTTCCTTCTTTTCCTCATATTTTCTTCGTTTCCTCATATTTTCTCGTTTCCTCATATACAGTAAGGTGATTTTGCCTTTCTATTTGAAATCAAATCAAACCAAGCTGTAACAGACTGAACAGAGTTCAATATATATATATATATTAGACATGTCGCTCTAAACGCCCTGTACGCAAGCTATATAAGGGACGGACCATTAGAAAAGTGATGGAGGGGGGGGGGGG